GCATTGTATTTCGCGATGCCTCAGGTCACTCAATCGAGCGATTGCTAAACTAATGTATTTCCCTTTATAAATTGATTTTTGTGGTCCCTATGTCCTTGGTTTTGTCTGTTACAATTTATACTTTTGACTGGGAGCAAAAATTGAGGGATCTCTGTACTGCCACCATAACCACTTGAAGTGACCCCAAAAATTCATTTCTTGTCCAAATTTACAGTTAATGCGGAATATCGCAAAAGAAAGTGAATGAAATTGTGAAGGAATCTTCCATTGGAAGCGACGCGGCAAACAGGAAATTTTGTGGTCAGAATTAACTTTGCGTTAGAGCCACCAGATAATAATACAAAAACCAAAATATATAATAAATATTTGGGCCCTGTCGGAACATTTGAACTTCCCGTCATGAGCAGGGATCAACGCCTCAGCCGAAATTGACCGACGAAACAAAACGTGAGGTCGCCGTCATGTTGCGCGAGAACTTACGCATGGGCAAAATGCCGCGTGGAACAGTCAAGGCTGTCGCCGCGCGCTTTGAGCTTGACCGGAGCACTCGACCGAGTTGGACCTCCCACACGCTACACAGCCGCTGAGATAACTGAAAAATATAAGAAGTACCTCGAAACAAACGCAGCACAGCTCCATGAGAGGCATGGCTCAAGCCACTGGCATATTAATCAGTATCCTTTGCCGGGCTCTCAAGACGGGTATCATGAAGCGCCGCTCGTCCCGAATCAAACCTCTGCTCACCGACGCCAACAAGGTCGAGCGCCTCGCCTTCTGTGGAGCACATTTGAACCTCACCAATAACGCCATCAACGAGTACATTACTGCTAATGATTTCAAAAGCTCCAACGCTGAGACCGGCGAAGCCCGTCTCAGCAACAACAGCAAGTGTGTCTTTCTTCAAGATGACAACGCGACGCTGCACAGCAAAATCGACGACGAAGCTCTTGCCAAAGTATCCACTCATGGGTGGACGTTCCGAGTTCATCGGCAACTGCCCAACAGCCCCGACTTAAACGTGCTCGACCTTGGTATCTTCGCTTCCATTCAGACCCTACAGTACAAGATGTTTAGTCGCTCTGTGGATGATGAAATTGCGTCGACAATGGCGGCATTTGACAATCTCGAGGTAGATACCTTGGAGAATGAGTTTCTTACCCTACAAGCTGTTATGCGCTTGGTTTTAGAACAAAGTGATGGTAACCAGTTCAAGCTCCCTCATCTGAACAAGGCTGCCATGCGTCGTGCTGGAAACCTCGTGGTGAATTTGACCTGCCCAGTGTCGCTCCTCTTCGAGGCCAACGGCCTCCTTTAAACAATGAGTCCATGAGTTGTGGCATTGTAATTATAACCAATAAAACACGCTTCATGTATGCTTGTCCAAGCATATAGAAATGGTGGAAGTAACATGAAAAAGTCGATTTTTGAATGGCGGAAGTAATTTAAAACAGAGGAAGTAAATGCACACATGAAAAAAATTGTTTTTGCGGAGCAGCGCTGGCAATTGCTTTGATCGGGCCATGTTCTATCGTAAAAGAGAGTTTGCGTGTAGTGCTAGAGCTAAAATATCTATACCTATCCTTAAAGTACTGGTACAAGAAATCACGGAATGTAGATCGCAATATATTTAAATGCGCACACCGCATATAGTCGACTCTACCGCCAATTTTTCAAAACAACTCAAGCCAAACGCGTAGACAAGCTGTCTACAAGCGCCTTCAAGAAGTCGGTACTTATCATTTTCCACGGCAAAGCAATTTGCCGCTTCAAACAAGACACATTGTCAAATTGCTCCCCGCCCTGGTAAACATGGTAGGAGAAAACCCCCCACTCTTTTAATAACGTTCATCGTGGGACTCTTGCATGACCATTCCATGAGAACGACGTCCGAGTCTTCAAAGTACTTCTTCATATCCTTGGAAGCGTGGATGGAGGCGTTGTCTCGTTGGAAGACAGCAATCTGGTTTCGAGACGTTCTTGCACTTCGTCGAAAAACAAGAATAGATAAAGTGGCCGTCAGAATGATTAGCCACTCTTTACTTCGAGGTGATTGTGAATAGCGTTACGTGATTGGATCCAGTAATTCGAACTACGGCATATTATTCGGCGAATCAGGACAGATCACAGTATTTTTATTCATCGCAACAGAGCTGAAG